TGTGCTTCTTGCTCAGTTGATCTTGTTTGTCCAAGGGAAACGGCGTCGTGTTCTTGAGGTAGAACACTCGGTATTGGGCGGCTGTGGCGGTGGATGTGTCTGAGGGGGGTTTGTGTTGGATTTCATGGGATGATGATGATGATGAGGAGGAGGAGGAGGAGGAGGAGAAGGAGGAGATGAGAGCAGAAGAGGAGGGGCTGTGGAGGAGGAGGAGGATAAATGTGCAGAGCATGAAACCCATGAGAGTTGAGAGGTTTTGGGTTGCTCTTGCATTTATATAAAAATGGGAAAAATGGAATTTTGAAGAACAAAAGTTGAAATGAAATTTGGAATTAATCAGATTATGGGGTTTTGATCAGAATGTGAAGCTATTTATTTTAGGTATTTGGTGTATTTAGTAAATTCATCAACTTTTCGTTGGGGTAAATAGTAATTTCATAAACTTTATTTAGACACCCCAAGTGTTGAATTGAATTTCATTGGTTGGTTTTGGTTTGCACAAATCTAAACCCAATTGATTTGGGCCATTTTCGAATTGGACTCTAAAATTGATGTGAGGATTTTTTTTTCTTTATTTTTTATTTTTGGAAAATCAAGTCGTCAACAAAAAAAATAAAAAGCTCGTGGACTTCCTCCTGACCCAACTCTATCATAATTTTCCGTGCAAGTCCAAGGCCTTAAATGGAAATTCTGTCGATGACGTGTTTCTTCGTGTATTTCTCCTCGTCGTGAGTCGTGTTTGTCGAATGGTCAACAAAAGCTCTCTCTCAAATTTACAGACAAAGAAATACAGGAGAAAGGAGTGAAGCTCCTAAACGATCGGTGGTATTGATCGCCATTCAACGTTCCCGCGAATCCAATTCCGCGCTCAAAACACAATAACCCAATCAAAATTTTCCATCACTTTCTCGGGAAAATCTCATCCAACTCGGCGCACGGTGCATCTCAGCCTCCGACTGTAGAGGCGGAGCTGAGCAGTGAGAGCGGAACCCTAAGGCCGCTGCGGTGACGGTGATCGGATCGAGCATGTCGTCCAAGTCTCTACCTTACTCCAAGAAAGATGTCTACTACGACAACGCCAAGTTCCGCCATCGCTCCTTCGTCAAGGTCCTGCATTTCTTAGATCTCTCTCGTTTCTGCGCTTCTAGTTCTAGTCAGTTGGATTCACTGTTCAGATTGCGCTTAATTCTGAAAATTGATTAAATTTATTGTTTTTTCATATAGCTGAATTTCAGTTTTCTTACACTGTGGAGATTAATTAATTAGATGATGATGCTCTAGTAATTAATTATCATATTGTAAGATTGTATGGATAGGATAGATCAAAGATGCGATTTAAAAAATGTAATTTTTTTACATCCTAATTAGTAGTTTTTCTCTATTAATTTGATTTAGCACCTTGTCTTATTTAAGTGACATAAGTTTATATGTCTTGTTTCCCAGATGATATCTCAGTCCTTACACACCAGTAACGTAAAGCATCACTGTATGAGTTGTAGTACAGGAAAGTTTCTATTTTTAATAATGATATTTGGTGTAGCATATCTTATGCTGACACACACAAGTCCCACGAATTCTGTTACTGGCGGATTTGTGAAGGGTAGTAAGAACAATTCAGTTGAGCACATTACAGGCGGTGGCATTAGATTTGGAAATATTTTCAGAAAACCACCAAGGCTTCCTCCTCAATTACCGCCTGGTGAAAAAGGTAGCACCGGTAACCTTGGTCATGAGCGTAGGAAGTTAAATTCTGACCCAAAATGGATAGCTAGGCAACAGGATGTTAAGAAGGCTTTTATTCATGCATGGTCTGGTTATAAAAAGTATGCAATGGGTTATGATGAGCTGATGCCCGTGAGCAAGCGTGGAGTTGATGGGTTAGGTGGTCTAGGTGCAACTGTTGTGGATGCCCTTGATACTGCCATGATAATGGGTGCTGATGAAGTTGTTTCCGAAGCAAGCTTATGGATTGAAGCACACCTTTCAAATAGGATTAATCAGACGGGACAAGTTAATTTATTTGAAACTACAATACGTGTTTTAGGTGGTCTTTTAAGTGCATATCATCTTAGTTCTGTGGAAAAAGGGATGGACTCAACACATAAAGGACCTAAACCAGTTGTTTATCTGGAAACTGCTAAAAACTTAGCTGATCGTCTACTATCTGGTTTTACTTCCAGTCCAACTGCTATTCCCTTTGGTGATGTTGTTCTTCGCGACCCTTCAGCGCATCCAGCTCCTGATGGTCGTAGTAGTACTTCAGAAGTTTCTTCTTTACAGCTTGAATTCAATTATCTAAGTTCAGTTTCTGGTGATCCAAAGTACAGTGTGGAAGCTATGAAGGTCTTGGAACACATGAAGACTCTACCAAAGGTGGAAGGACTGGTTCCTATCTTTATAAAGTATGAGCCTTACATCTCAAATATTTTATTAATACTTACACCATTATTCTATTCAACTTCTTAATTCTTGCTTATCAGTATAGCATCTTGTTGACATTTTCCTTGTACCTAGCAGCCCTCATTAGGTCTACAGAAAATGACTTATACTATACTTGTATGAGTATGATTTGATTACATACATTATACTCCATTATGATATGTTGGGTCTTATAAATAAAAACATAGAGTTGGGAATATGAAAAGGACCCCCTTGTGCTTATCTAAGAACAAAATATATGGGTTTGGGACCAAAAAAATGTTTGCTCTCAAAGGTGGGGGAGAATACCTCTTTGTTCTTCTATGAGAAATGTTCAACTTAACTGGTTGAATTCCATGTGGCCTTGATATAATTCCACCATAATAACTTCCGTAGAAGAATTTCTTAAATAATCTTTTCTGTTTCCCTTTTTTCTACAAGTCTATGTGATAAACTCTTATAATACGAGTATTCTTATTGAGGGTGGTGCTGAAAGGTTCCTGATTCTAGGAGTTCCCTCCCTTGGTCACTTGGATACAATTATTGGTGGATATTTTGATTGTTGCTCATTTCTAAAACTGTACTTGCACAAATGTATTTATTTGTTCTTGTGAGTGAGTGTGTGTGTGTTTATCTTTATGTTTCAATTTTTTAAAAATGTATTCAGTAGGCAGCATCTCACATGTGCCTTTTTATTTTCTCTTTGTTGATGTTGTTTATACTGTATGCAGCCCTAGCACCGGTGAATTTAGTGGAGAAAATATAAGACTGGGATCTCGCGGTGACAGCTACTATGAGTACCTACTGAAAGTTTGGCTTCAGAAGAATCGAGAAAGTAATGTTACATACCTCTATGATATGTATGAGGAAGCAATGAAGGGTGTTAGGCACCGTCTTGTTCGGAAATCAATCCCAAATGGATTGGTTTTTGTAGGGGAATTGCCTTATGGATCCGAGGGTTCTTTTAGCCCCAAAATGGATCACCTGGTAAGTTACACTCCACAAAATCTTTGGCATTTAGATAACTTATAAATTACTTGTCTATGCTATTGCTTGCTATAAGTTCTTCAAAGTCAGAAGGAAAAGGCCAACTAGGTGGACATCATGTTGCTCCACATAGGGCGGTGAAGTGTAGGTGGCATTGGATATGCTTAATCAAAGTTTTAAAGTCTAAATTTATTAATTGGCTTGTATTTTGCACAACCACAATGTACATGTATGCTTAACTTTTTGTGGTATCCTTGATAAGATGTATTTACCTGTCACTGCGCCAAGCTCATACTTGCTCTTTTGGAAATGATTCTTAGTGTGACATTTTGAACTGCCTTTTGCAGGTATGTTTTTTGCCTGGTACTCTTGCACTTGGTGCCACGAAAGGCATTACCAAGAAAAAAGCAATGACAGATAGTGTAATTAACTTTGAGGACCTAAAAAATTTGAAACTTGCAGAAGATCTGGCTAAAACATGCTTTGAGATGTATTCAGTAACCTCTACCGGTCTTGCTCCAGAAATTGCTTACTTCCATACAGAGGTTAGTTTTTGATCTACATGAGCTATATTATTTGGGAAAAAATCCGCCAAATTTTCACAATGGTCATTAAAGTAACATTTTTTGTCGTCATTCCGAACTTTCTATTGTCTATATTGTACCTGGTAACTTGACAATTTCTCTAATTGAAGCAGGAATTTTCTGAAGGAGGTCTTGATGGTGGTAACAAGAGTTCTGAATATGTGAATGACATAATCATCAAACCTGCTGATCGTCATAATCTCTTGCGTCCTGAAACTGTGGAATCATTGTTTGTCTTGTACCGCATCACAGAGGATCCAAAGTAAGCTTTTAATTTCCTCGTTATGTGTCCATCAGTTTTATTGCCCCATAAATAACACACGAGTAGAGGATAAGTCATATCCCCTTTTGGAACACTTTCACTTATACTTGGTACTTGCAGATATCGTGAATGGGGTTGGCAGATTTTTGAAGCATTTGAGAAATATACGAGAATTGATACTGGCGGATACAGTTCTTTGGATGATGTAACTTCAATTCCTCCTCATAAAAGAGACAAAATGGAGACGTTCTTTTTGGGCGAGACACTGAAGTATTTGTACTTGCTGTTTGGAGATAGTTCCGTCCTTCCATTGGATAAATTTGTTTTTAACACAGAAGCTCATCCTATTCCGGTAGAAGGCACTACCAAGAGGGGATAAAATTTTGTTGCACTAAAGCATCAATTCAAAGGAAAAGGAAGCAAAGCAAGTTTGGACAAATTATACGGTAGCAGATGTGAACTTGAATGCTCCTTCCGGACTGGCTGGTGTTTCATACATATTTATAGAGTATATCTGATTCCAGAAGACAGTAAATACCCTGGTTAAAGTTAGAGGCGGCTTAATTTGTTTCTCTTCTTGTGCAATTCATTATGTGACAAACCTACAGGACGGAGAGTTTTTCCAGACACCCCTGTACTTGGGGGTGCACCGGATAATGAAAAGATTGTATTATGTACTAATTGCTATTTGACAATTTTGATTAATTACCTAATGGGGTTTTGCCCATCAAAAGTATGAAAGTGCCATATTCGGTAATCAACTCTTTTCCACTTCGCCGGTAGTATTACTGGATTTGGGGATCCAAAATCTTCAACTGGTGGTCAAATCAAAATTTCTGTTAACATCTTATTTTACATTGCCTAAAAGTTACAAGCTATCTTCACCTCTACGTAGTTGTATCTAAATAAATATTAAGTCACATCAGAATTCATATTATCACAGTCATGATGAAGAAGAAACAGGTGATCACCATCTCGAACAACACTTATGTCATCTATTTCTGCATTCTCTGCATTAATGACTTTTGTAAGTTTGTAGCCTCCAAACTTCTCACCTGCAATGTCATAAAGTGTGAGGACAAAACTGTGCTGTTATGGAAACTGTATGCGATCCTGTTAAGCTTTGTGTTGTCGAATATTTTCTAATTTATAAGAATTTATAGTTCAGGTTTGTTCCTAATCTACTTTTTGAGTTAAAAAGGAAAGCTTACTGGCAACTCTGAGCAGCTCTTCCATCGAATCAGGTAGGATTATTAACTTTGCAAGCTGCGTCTCTGATACACTTCCATTTTGAAAATGCATGTGGATAGTTACTCTCTTGTTGATTGATCTCATCCCTTCTTTATCTCTTGCAGGGCTAGAAGTGGCTGAATAGGACTTCATGGGTTCCTTTCTCAAGTGAGCGTGGAGAAACTGGGTGCCCTCGTGTCTTTTGGAATTTCCTTTACAACTCCTGGTGCTTTCAGATGTTTCTGGCTCACTAAACTCTATTCTATGTTCATCTATTCTCCTATTCTCATAACTTCGTAAGAGGTCATTTATGCTCTTGTTTCCCTGCTGTTGTGCCAGAGCTTTTGGCGTCCAACCTCTAGTATCCGGTTTGTTTACATTGGTTCCTCCTTCAAGCAAAATTTTAACCATTTCCTTATGTCCCTGGCAAGCAGCAGAATGAAGAGCCATTTGGCCGTCCTCAGCAGCGATGTTGACATCCATTGCACATCTAGTTAAAATATCAGCCTTGCATATCTCACTCTTCTCTGTAGCCTCTGGACCTGTAAACAATGGATCTTGATGTGAATTGTCTTTGCATTGTGCTTGAGAACAGCATCCTTCTATTGGATCTGTATGTGGATATTCACAGCCCAACCCTTCTTGCCCCTTCAGTTTCTGTAAAGTAGAGTACAAACTATCAGTCTTTGGAAGAGAAGGGGTGGTGTGCATGACTGCACGTACCTTTTTTCTTTTTGAAGAACAATATTGTTTTAGTACCATAAAAATGTTGTTCATGATAATTTGCTCATCTTCCTTATTTGCCTGTAGAGTGGCCATCAGGGAACTGCTGCGGAGTCGTAAAATCTGAGAAAGTTCGGTGGTCCGAACGGTGAAAGGCTGTGGCATATTACATAATACTCCTATTTCTCCCAAAGTATCATCAGCAGTTGCCTTTCCTACAACCTGTTTGGAGCATGTGAAGTCAGATGTTATCTCTATGTTCTCCAATCCACAGAGAGTATTTTGAAATGTCAACAATCATATTTGTATCTGTGACTTACTTGCTCATGCCCATCAATATTGCATATCAAATCCTGCAACGATGGGATTTTCCCAATTGAAATTTAGGTCAGAAAGCTTTTGTAAGAATAATATACGAAGATCATGTAAGAGATAAGAGTTAAGCTGGCGCACCACTGCACCTGAGACCAGTATGTAAAGATCCGTTGGAGCCTCATTTTGTAGAATTACATCTTCCCTGGGTGGAAAATACTCTGCATCTATTTCTGATACCTTAATAAAAGAATGCATGGTTTTTAGCAATGTCGTGAGAAATTTAAAAGAGAAGATGAAGGGCGAACGGGGTCTAATCCAGTGGAAAAGAACCTTGACTTGTACTATGGCATCTTAGTTGTGTGTGTGAGTTTAGACTATCACTTGTACTAAAATAAAAATGAAGGTGGAGGTGAAAAAATAAAATAAAAATTTACCAACTGAAAGAGGAAGTCATGAGAAACTCCTTGAAAGAGATAGACTTTTTGAACAATGGGGAAGAAGAGATGTTGTGCAATGCTTGAACGAATGGCTTTTGGCAAACCATTTAAGGTCTCTTGCTGCTTCAATCCTTCTGTCTTGAACTTGAGGCATATATGTGACAACATTTGATCCTGAATGCGTTGGGGCAAGTCATTTCTTGCTGCAAATTCCGTAGCAGCTCTCACTGTGTCCCTCTATAAAACACCAAAAGCAAAGCTTCTTCATCTAATATTTTATTTTGGATTAAAAAAATTAAAAAAAAATTAAATATATTTTTGAGTTGGGTTTCGACTCGAAGAAATACTCTCAAAATGTGGGGTAGACAAGAGAGCTTACAAAGGAACAGATATTTGGACCTTTTTCTAAAACTTTGATTGTGACTTGGGGATTATTTTGGTCCATTTACAACCTGCCTAGTGCCTAACCTTTGGGACTCTCTTAGGAGCTGGTTCATTACTTTGAGCTGTAGTTGTTCTCTAGAAAAGGGACTTTTACTTACAAAGATTCTGGTTCTGCTGGTCCAATGAACCACAAGGTTTGTCATGTTTCCAATGAGGTAAGATGTCAATCCCAAGTTGAAGAGCATGTAGAAAATGTCAAACAGCATCTCCCTGGGGTTCTCAGCATGCAAGTCCCCATAGCCAGTTGTTGTTAGTGTTGTTATAGACCAGTATATTGCAGTCACATATCTGTTCCAGAGACTGTCCTCTTTGAAATTTGGGTACACTGCACCAATCCAGGTTCGTTTCGGGTCAGGATATCGGTCTGCGATCAGATAGTTGAAGCATCCAGCACAGTGTACTGCAAAAAGGGTTACCTGCAATTTGGATGCCACATAAATTCAGAAATGGTGAACGGCCAAAATGACTAGAGAAGAGTTATGGTGCATGAGTTGGGGTTTTAGGGGCTTACAGATATGAGCTTTGTGCACCGAATCCAGAAGTAATTGAACCGAATGTCCTTCTCAAGTCTGAAGGGAAAGCAAACCGGCCAGTGAGTATTGTGTGTGTCAATACTTGCATCAGAACAATTGGAAAATTTGAAGAAAACCAAAGGCAAAGCCATAGGATTAGGATGGAAGAGTATGGTGATGAACCTTGCAAACAAGAAGCTGACACGTCTGAGGCGCCAGAGCCTGAGCATGTTGAGTAGTTTGAAGCCAAGTTCGCTGCCATGATTTGTGAAGAGGAGGCTAATTGACTGAAATGGTGCAGTGGAGCACACATCGAAAATGAACCAGGTTGAGATGTACCTGTTGGTTGTGTGAAAGAACAAAAGAAAGAGGATTATTTATTCTTGTAAAGAAACTAAAACACATCTCCTGGTTGTAATAACTCAGAATGAAGTACTAACGCACCTCATTGCGATTTGCTTGGGATTGTCAACGAGAAGATAAGAGCGGCTGTCGAGATAGGCAACAAAGAAAGTCAGGAAGATGTCAATGGCAAAGAAGCCATTGACAATGTTGTCAATGACGAAAAGAGCATCTTGCTTGTAAGGCAGAAATGCAAACTCGAACGGGCAAATCCAGGAGGAGTAAATGACTAGAAGAACAAGTAGCATCTCCCAAGCCCTGAAAAATGAGGATCATATTTAGAGAGAGGGCATGAATTTGATGAGCAGCAGCAGCAGCAGAGTAGAAAGAAACAAATAACATTGAAGAAGAAGTAATGTGACAAAGAAATGAATAAACGATCATCACCTATAGCGAGGATTGTATGGGGATATAATGTATTTCCTGAGCTTAGTTGACTGGTTGATTCTGGCTCCAAGGGAGGGCAGAAGATCACTAGAGAAGAAGCTGCTCTGAGCAACACTACCTATTTGATATTCATCAATACAGAACCTCTTGAAGAAGTTTTTTGTGCAGGAAAGTGACATATTTTTCTCTTTTCTTTTTTTTTTTTTGGTTTTTCTGGTCTTTGCTTAACTCTTCAAGACTTGTAAAGTAAAAGGGTTGGTTGGTTGGTTGCTAACTTGCTAGCTAGCTATAAGATTTGTGGGGTATTAATAGTAAGGCCACTTGGCTTCGGTGACACATCTCCTACTTCCCCTCCTTCCCCTGTAGCCTTTTTCGGTACCACACCTGTGACATATTTGCTTTTGAAACGAATATGCTGGAAGCTTAATTGTGCAGGTGGGCTAGTAGTGCTGGTTACGGATGGGAAAGCTAGAAGCAAAAAGATGAAAGAAGACTTTCCATCTTGTTTGAGCAAGAAAGGTAAGGAAATACGAACACGAAAAGAACAAGTTGTAGAGAGAGTGAGAAGAAGCAGGGGAAGTGGCAGACATGAGTAGCTTAATTTCTGTAATGCAGCAGCAGAAACAGCAGCAGCTGTAGATAAGCTCTTGCTAGTGATAGAGCAACAACAAGGAAGATGATAATGGTGGTTTTTGTTGTGTAAAGGTGGGGGTGGCGGGTGCGCCATCATTGATATACATGTGGAGTTTTTGCTCCAACAAGCGGCTGCTCAGCAAGGACAGATTTCACTTGGGTTTAAGCATTTTGGCAATTCCCCTGATTGGTGTGTCAAAATTTTTTTTTTCAAGCATTCATTTCAAAATGTGAGAGAATGGACCAGAGGCTGATCTGGTGCAGTTCACTTCATGGATGCCACGTGAACCAATCAGAAGTTGTTCAAGAGGTGGTGACACACTTTTGCAAAAATCCGCCAACAAACAAAACCCAAGTTTTTATTTATTTTAAACTCATGATTATTTAGCTCCCTTCATATTCATATTAAGAGGCCAAGAGCAGACTTGCTTGCTGCTGAGGTTGTTTGTATACGGAACTCAATCAGAGCCATAAAAGTGTGAGATGGATTGGTGCCATATATCCAAATTCCTCTATATCTTTTTCCTTCTAATTTGGTTTTAGCTCTACAGGGTTCTCACCGACTGGTTTTTTTTTTTTTGTGTGGCTGCACTGCATGTTGTTTTGATTTAACATGCATCTGATCTAGTTTAATTAATTAAATAATCAAGGATTTCATCGGACGGTCAGGATGAGGTAATCTTTTTGAGTTCGAATGGTAATCTCCCATCTGCAACCTCCAACTCATCATGTAAATGTAATGCAGATTTGCTGGCTCCATGAAATCCTTTTGAGTGCATGAAATTTTGATGGCTAATGTGGCATATGGGATGTTGGCTTTGTATTTATCCTGGAAAAGCATGACTGGTTGTCAACAAAAAGTTGAAGAGACAACATATTATGCATGTCTTCACACAGTATTATCCCCCTCTGATTTAATTGGCTGCAGATACTAATTCCTTGTTCTGATTGTTTTTTAATTCCCTACAATAACCTTTTATCATAAGTTTTAGAAAATAATCAAGGTTTAGACAAGTAACCCCTCCATCTCTCAAGGACTAATCCGTGTCATTGAATTAATGATGATGCGATTATTGGCTTGAAGCCCACTTGGTGCTTGCAGTAATAAGCCAACCTTGCAGAGGGTGAAAGGACAACATGTGACAAGTTCTTGGTTCCCGTGGGTGGACCACTTCACTCCTCCGGCTATACACTTGACCAAAGGTAACTTCCTATATTTGGATAGCACTTTGTGGAATCCAAATGTAGGAAGGTTCTCTTTATCTGTGTGTGTGGCCGGACGGATAATCACGGTCGATCAATCGGATCAAAATATTTCTCCACAATATATAGTTGTCTCTTTAAGCTTAAATTAAAGCCACGTGAGCGACGTTTGCGTGTTTGGGTTTGATTAGGCAGAAACCCCACCACTCTTCCATTGTTAGTGACTATGTCTATAGCAATTTGTGTAATTATAGGGACTCTCTCTCCTCATTGGACCTCCTTATTTCTGGGGAGCCTCTCAATGACAAGGACTATGTGGCTTTGTATACTTACTCTGCCTCTCTCTCTCTCTCTCTCTCTCTCTCTCTCTCTCACGCGGAAAAGGTGTATTGGGTCGATCGTGAAAATTGTGAAGAAAATAAAGCAATTGTTTTTAGGGTTTACATGCCAATCCTATTCAAGGTTTCTGATGAACATGTACCACATAAACCAAACATCAGTTTACCAAAACACCATTTGAGGCATATTAGAATTAAGGAAGACAATTCTCACACAAATAAGAGTAATTAACTAAATTAATTAGGCAATATTTGGCGGTAATGCATGCGAAATGAAGAAGAAAAATCGTGAACGTAACGTGGCCAGCATATATAGCATTCAAACCAAAAGTTTCATGTGACCATATCACATATAATTAACAAGTTTGAACTTTTTTGGTGCCACACATGCTTCATGGCCCATGATGCATATATCTTAGGGTTGAAAAATCGAAGAAGTAAACAAATTTAAATTATGCAAAAAAGGAGAGAAAGAAGTTAGTTCCCGTGATGGTTGGTTTGGTTGGGTTGGGAGGTCAGGGGCAATAGCCAATTTCGTGGGCAAGTTAAAGGTGGTCCAGCATCTATGTAAATGATGGTTCATCTCATAAGATTGCTATAATCAATACTTGTACATCATGTGGTCCTTAACTGTGTTTCAGGCCGCCTTGGAAACTAGTGTACTTCAACTTTCCAGCATTATACCCGCCTAGCTAATATATTTATAACTAATGGTGGTGCTGAATGGTGATTAAGATGTTTATCTGTAGGTTTTTCAAGATTTGTCTTGCACCGTAATGTATCGTATGTTATCAGACTATCAACATTGCTAAGTTTCGTTCATATTTGAATAAGTTAGCCATCATTATCATGCACATGAATTAAAAGTGAACAGAAGTCTTTTAACTCTTGAATATCGTGGGTCTTGATGAATATGGTAATGTTGACCAAATACCCAAATGCTTGGAATGAAAGATTTCTTTGAAGGGCATAATTGGTCTCGTTTAGTATGCATTGCATGGAGTTGTAGGGTATGGCGGTATTAATTAGGTCAGATGCCTTGATCAAATTCATTTCCTCTAGACATGATACTCTTCAGATTGCTATGATTATGGACAAAGACACAAAGGAAAAGAGCATAGCTTTTGCTTTACATGTCTTATATTTTCAAGTAAAAAAGAGGTCCGTAATTCGTAGGGTCACGTTGCCAAATTGCCAAGTCCCTTAATGGATGCCTTTCCAAATGCGGGTCAGATATCACTCCATCAAAGCTTCATGATACCTCTTCTCCCACTCCCAATTTATCTTAAACAAATAGGTCCACCGGTAATCTAAGGTATCGTTGATCATGTTGACTTAATTAGTTTGATCACGCCCGGTTAACCATCGTGCGTAAAGCATCCGTTGATGACGTTGACGTCTTGGTGGGTTTGACCGGTGTAGGTATCATGTATGTATGCATGGAAAAGAGTTTCAGAACTTGTTCGGAGCTACTTTGCCTGTTTTTATTGTGAAAATGATGTAGAACATGTTCCAAACCACTTAAAGTGATCAGCCAGCTCGACCCATTACTTGGTTTAAAAAGAGGCACACCCAAGAAAACTGATGACCACATTGCCTTGAAGATACGAATGATGCTTCCATTTCATTTTGATGCACAAAGTTTCTTCCAAAAATTTGGTGCAAGGCCGTCTTCTCATCAATTCTCCCATGTGAAGAATTGTTTCATGGTCCACAAATATTTTAGGTTAATGGCTGGGAGTTCGTACTTATCTACTTATCCCTAAGAGAGTTATAAGGTGATATAGATATTTGATCATCAATTATAAATGGACCAACATTAGAAAGGGATATAGCAGAATATAATATGAAATTAGATCCCCTAAACCCCAATCACATAAGGCCAAATGTGGATGATTACAGAAAATGGCGTTTTGTTGTTGTTTTTATGAGATTCATGCACGAAACGGAATGTTTTTGGCAGCTGGGGGAATATTGGAGATGGCAATTTTAGTTTGAATTGATGAAAAGGGAAATTTGGGCTTTTTTTTGACTTTGAAACCATGTATATATATATATATATATATATATATGGAAATATTTTTCTCACCACTTTAATCCTTACCACCTTTTTTAACACTTGACACATGTTCATGGGTCTAACGATAGTTAATTTTTTATTTTGATTTTCTGGAACCATGATTATACTTAGAGCATCCACTGTGTGGGGTGTATTTTCGGGGGTGTAAAGCCGTTTTTGCAACCCTTTTACACATCCAAGGGGTGTAAATACGTTTTTTGCTTCAATGGGAAACAATGTAAATCCAAATATGCATATTCGATTTGTTTGTGATAATTCTTTTGTGTGTGTTTTTTTTGTATGTTTTAACTTTTAAAATTAATTTTGTGTGTGTTAGATTTATTTTATTTTGGGACATTTTGGAAAAAGCAAAAGGAGAGAGAAAAATTTTAAAAGAAGCAAAAATGGACAAAAATGCCCTTATTTATTTTTAGATTTCCTAAGGAATCCAATACATTTGCATGTCTTTGATTTGAAAGTTGAGTGGTTTTTTTGTCTTTTTTGAAAAAGCTTTGGCTTTTTCCAAAAGTGAAA